ATCGGAAACCGCCGATTAAGGATGGTGGCGGTGACGTAAAGTTGAAAATTGCAAAAATACGCTATGACACTGAAAACTAATTGTGTGTCCATCTCTTTTCCTTCCCACGTATTGCCCACCCCCTAGACCCCCTACCCCCTCAAGCTTCAAAAACCCATTAAACATAAAAATCATTGGAAGAAATGGGATTACAAAATCAATTAACTGATGTTTCTACTGAATCTATTCCTATTTTGCTCGTAACTCTTCTCGCTAATTGCATCGCTAATCTCCGTTCAATCATCTTCGCTTTTCTCCAGTTCGTCGGTGTTTCAATGAATCCGATTCAAATCGAAGAAAATACGCTTTACGATGCCGTTGGTTCAGGTTTAGCCGGAGTTGTTATGCTCGCTGAACAGCTCAATTTGAATCGGATGTTCTCGTATACATTTGATGATCAAGGAGACGAAGCTTCTGGTTCGAGCTGCGTTGTTTGCTTGAACCGGTTGGGTGATGGTGAAAATGTGAGGAAATTGGATTGTAAGCATGTTTTTCATAAGGTGTGTTTCGATGGATGGTTAGATACGTTTAATTTTAATTGTCCGATTTGCCGGTCGTCGTTATTGATGGTTTCCGATGAGCGCGTGGAGATCACGCGACGGCGCGTTGTATGGGATGTGATTGATTGGTTCTCGTTAAGGTGAAATTTACATGGCTGACCATGATGATGATGATGATGCAGTCAGAACTTCGATAAATGAGAGGTGTAAGTATCACGAGGTGTGAAGAGATCTCGTACTAAACGGAACGACTTATACAATCAGTGTTTTGGTGATGATGAGTGATGAATTTCACGAGTTTTTTTAAAAAAAAAAATAGTTTTGGAGGAATTATTTCCGGTTTTTGAAGAGCTTAATGTGAAGTTCTTTTTACTCGTGTAAAAAAAGAAATTAGTTTTTGGCGAAGTTAATATTTATTTTGCAATAAGTTCAATTTTCCACGAATTCGAGACGTGGAAACAAATTCCTACTTATGTATTTTAAGTCTGCGTACAATAGAGCTTAGTAAAATCCTTATGGTTTGATGATTTATGAGATTTTAGTGCATTGAGGTATTCCTTTAATGTGGCATTTCAGTAATTGAAGTTTTTAAAATTACGAATTCGTAATTATAAGGTTCTTTTAATTATTATTATAAAAAAAAATATCTTAAAAACTAAGATGAAGGAGTGATCTTCAACAATCAATTGGTTCATGTGGATCCGGCCTCCCTGTCATGGCCCTGCTCCACTCCTATTGGAATTGGACCCTCCATAACGGAAGTAGAAACTTCGAAGAAAAAAGTATTACGCCATGGTCCTGCCCCGCTGGCCGCTCCTATTGGGATTGGACCTTCCATAATGGAAGTACATAGAAACTTCGAAGAAAAAAAAGTATTTTGTCATGGCCCTGCCCCGCTCCTATTAGGATCGGACCCTCCCTAACAAAAGTACATAGAAACTTCGAAGAAAAAAAAGTATTCTGCCATGGCCCTACCCCGCTCCTATTGGGATCAGACCCTTCATAATGGAAGTACATAGAAACTTCAAAGAAAAAAAAAGTATTCTGTCATGGCCCTGCACCGCTCCTATTGGGATCGGACACTCCATAATGGAAGTACATAGAAACTTCGAAGAAAAAAAGTATTATGGCATGACCCTACCTCACTCCTGTTGGAATCGGACCCTCCATAACGGAAGTACATAAAAACTTCGAAGAAATAAAAAAAGTATACTATCGTGTCTTTTTCGATTTTACAATTCATTTTTTGATAATATTGTGTATCGGAAACATATAACATATAATTTTAAAACGAATAACCCTCAAAATAATTCTTGCCACACTAAAAAGAAATTCCACCTGCCTAGATGCCTTAGGTCCATTAGGAATATGATTTCATATGAGTTATAAATTTTATTCAAATATGTAATAAAGTTTCACAATTGTGAAAACTAGTAAAAATAAATTGACTCTATGTTACTTTTTCCTTTTAAAAATAAAAATAAAAATTAATGTACCGCAAACGTAAATTATTTCGAGCAAATTTTATATAAAAAGATATAAAATATTGGACAAATTTCATATTTAGAATTTTGGAGTGTTTAAAGGAGATTTTGAGTTGGCTGGAATTGAATAGTCAACGTATACTTACTTTATGTATAGTCGGTCGATATAGCTTTATGTATATGTAAACTATATTCAGTTTTTTAAGTGTATCATAATATATAGTACTCATGTATAGATAAGCTATATTCAATTTTTTGAGTGTATCATATTGTATAATTAGTATATAATGAACATATTTTTTCTATGACTTTTGATTATCTGTTATATAAATAAAAACGTAACTGTATTTACTATAAACTAATTACTTTATCGTATATATTTGAAACTATCCCTGCAATTATCATGTTGTGAGCACTATTGTGTTGTGGTGTCATCTAAAATATCTCTTTAAATATAATGTGAATAAATACACTAAAATTTTGGAGTATAGTTTTTATGAATATGTTTTGTGTCCTCTTCTTTGTTTGTTTCAAAATTTTCTTTTTAGACTATTGAAATTGGACCATATTGGAAGCAAGTGGGATCTATAAGTGGCTCCCAATAAAAAAACAGAAAATATAAGCTGTGCTATAACAATTCATATGGGCTGATTATTGCTTTTTTTCCTTTCTTTTCACATGGGCCTTCTTCTTGGGGGCCCACAAAATGTTTGTTGCTTCAATATTTTGGGTTATTCACACAAATATTTTTATTTTGGATGGTCTTTAATTTTTGTCCTTTTGATACTGTGGTAAAAAAAGAGTTAACGAACATGTTCTTGACATCGAAAATAAACAAAAAAAGAACTTGCAAGGCAAACATTTACATTTTCGTAACATACAAGACAAAACAAGTTATATGTGAGTGAAGTTGAAAATTTGAATTTAAAGTGCATATGAAAATTACCTTAAATCGTTGTCATGTGTGTCAGCTGTTTTGTAAAAAAGTGTTTTTTTGTTATCTGAATTTCAACAATTCAACACCCAAATCTACTCTAAATAAGCCAAAATTTAAAACATAAATTCAAGGCATAATGGACAAATGTGTCTTTTAACTTGGTCTCATTTCAAATTTATGTCCTCCAACTTTGGTTGTGCACAATCAGACACGTAAACTTGTACAAAGTTGAATAAGTAGATACACGAGTCCTATGTGACATAATACATGTAGGACACTATGTAGACATAAATTGACATGTAGGATGACACGTAGGATATGTGTATCTATATGTTCAACTTTATACAAATTTAAGTGTCAACTTATGCACACACAAAGTTGGAGGGCATAAATGTGAAATGAGACCAAATACATATTTTATAAATTATGCCTAAATTCAATATATCATAAAGAACACACTCCAAACATTAATTGTCAAAATAATAATAAATCTAACAAACCCATTTAACTTCTTTTTACTTTTTCGGTTAGGTTAAACACATGTTAAAATTGGCTAAATCTTTAATCTTCTGCATTAGAAATATTTTTATATATGCTTACGCTTAGTCATATATAACAAAAACACATATTAAATTTGACTAAAATTTCAATCGTATGCATTTATTTTATTTTATATTATACTATATAGTCTAAAGAGAATTCAATTTCAAAGAATTGTTATGACTGATTAAACTCACTGAATTCGATTTCAAAGAATTGTTTTTATTAACAATAATAATACAGCTGGTTGTTAGCTTATTGAAAAAAAAATTAATTTTTTTTTAATCTCTATTTTAATTTATTTGACTTATTTTATTTTTCAAAATTTTTTTATTCCCCCCCCTAATTTACATAGACTTAATTTTGACATTCTATAATACGTATCTAAGATCACAAGCTATATTTTAATATATTTTACATATTTTTAATTTAAAATTACTTTCTTAAATTAAGTGCCACAAATTTTATATGAAAGTCGTTGGATCTAGCTGCTTATATACTCCTAATTAAATAAAAAAGGACTTGTGAATATATATAATTAAAAAAATACGACTCAGAAATGAATTAAAAAAGGACACTGTAATGAATGATTTTTTTTTTTTTTTTTATTTAAAAATAATGAATGAAAAGGACTTGTGAATATATATAATTAAAAAAATACGACTCAGAAATGAATTAAAAAAGGACACTGTAATGAATGATTTTTTTTTTTTTTTTTTATCTAAAAATAATGAATGATTGCCATAAATTAATGTGGCTAGATCTGTGATAATACTTTCTTCAATCTTTCAATATTTTCATTTCACCAAATATACATCGAAGCTAGCTAAGTTTAATTAATTGGTAATAGTCATATCCAGGTGAGAACTATTTTAGCAATGATTTTTTTCATTATCATGTCAATATTATTGTTTTGCTTACTCATTATTAAGTTTAATTTCCAAATGATATATTTGTTTTATCCTAATGTTAGAACAATTCTGTTATTCTTTACGATTTGATGAACAATTTTTTTTTTTTTTTTTGTGTTTATATACATTTACTTAAGAGCATATTATTGACTTTGTTTCTCCATGTTTAAATTTCAAAGAGCATCTTCAAAGTTCAAATGCTAATATTTGAAAAGTCAACTGACGAGCTTTGAACAATTGTGTGATAAAAATGTGTTGTCAAGATCTAAGGATAAATTTTATAAAATAGTGATTAGATTGAGATAGAATGTTGGTCAATTAAAATTATTTGTGTCTAGAAGAAGAGTGAGATAAGGATGCTAAGATGAATGTGTAGACATACCAAGAGAAATACAATTAGAAACAAAGTTATACGAGATAAGATGAGAGTGATCCCGGTAGTAGACAAGACGAGAAAGGTTGGATTAAAATGATTCAGAATTTATGAACAAGAGGTGCGCGGATGCACTAGTAAGAAGGTATGGGTGGTTGACTATAACAGGGAGGAAATAGATCGAAGAAGAACGGGAGAGAGGTGATTAGATATCACGTATTTAACTCTAGTTTGCTGGACATGATCTTGGATATGAAAGAATGGAATGAAATTTTTTAGAGTACATAGTAAGTAGTGAAATGATACGTGGGAGAGGCAATGACAAGCTAACTAGACTCATCCCCTCCCATCCCATTAGCAGTAAGTAGTAGTTAGTAATCGCTTACTTTCTTATTCTTCAATGTAAAATATTACTATCTGATGTAGCTATTGTTGGCATCCATATATATATGTTGTGTGATAAAGTTGGTTTCAGAAAATTACTACTTATAATATGCATGTTTGTGCGTTGCTCCGAGGGTTGATACTTGCTTGATTAAGATGGAAGTCTGTTGTTTATTGACTACTATTTGATAACTTTTCAAATATGATACTAATTCGAAATTGTTTCTGTGAGCTATGAACATGTTTAAATTTTTAAAAGAATCGTTCATTTTGGAAGTTCAATATGTCAATTTTCTGCTTAATACCTCTCAAAGTGAGAGTCTTTCCATTATATAGAGAAAATAAAGATTACACATTCCTAAAGATCAGCTATTCTATCTCTACAAATCTGCTATTCAATCCCTCTAAATCTGCCTTGCTATCCCTCCAAATCAGCTATTCTATCACAATATTTATTCCTTTGATTCTACAACAAATGTATATGATCATGAAGCATCAATTTGCCAACTAGAAACTGATGACGTTGTCGTGCCATGAATTTTGTAAACGCATCAGCGATTTGAAGATCGCTGGACACATGTGGAAGAGTAATGACTCATTTATCTACAACTTCTCTTATATAATGACAATCCACTTCAATGTGTTTGGTCCTCTCATGAAAACTGGATTTGTAGCAATCTGAATAGCACTTGTATTGTCAGCGTGGAGAGGAGTAGGATGAGATTGAGGAAATCCAATCTCAGCAAATAATCCACGAAGCCATACAACCTCAGAGCAAGCAGGAGACATGGATCGATATTCAGCCTCTGTTGAAAATTTTGACACACGATCTTGCTTTTACTCTTCCAAGATATCAATGACTCTCCAAGAAACATGCACCAACCAGAGACTGAACGACGAGTATCAGGACATCCCGCTCAATCAGAATCACTAAAAGCATTAAGACGAATAGGAGAACCACTTAGAAAGAACAATCCACGAGTAGATGTTCCTAGAAGATACCGAATGATGTGACAAACAACCACCAAATGGAGATGACGGGGAGCTTGCATAAATTGACTAACTTGTTGAACTGCAAAAGAGATATCGGGCAGAGTAGTAGTAAGGTAATTTAGACTCCTAACTAATTGTCAAAATATAGTTGGACCAGGAAGAAGATCGCCTTCCTCATGACGATACTTCACATTCAATTCCAATGGAGTATCTATGGAGGATGAATCTTGAAGACCAGCCAAAGAAATCAGATCCTGAGTATATTTGTGTTGGTTTAGAAACACACATGAAGCAACATTATGAACTTCCAAACCCAAAAAATAAGTAAGAGTACCAAGATCTTTCATATGAAAAGAATTTTAAAGCTGCTGTTGGAGGCTAGTGATTAGTGAAGAATCAGTTCCTGTGATAATAATGTCATTTACATACACCAAAAGAAGAACACAACCTGTAGATGTTTTTCGAAGAAACAAAAATGAGTCATATTTGCTCTGCTCAAAAGAAAATTGTAGCAAAGTAGATAGAAACTTATCAAACCAAACTCTTGGAGCTTGTTTTAATCCATACAAAGACCGCTTCAACTTGCATACATCTGATGTAGGCAATGAGAATAAACCAGGTGGAGGTTTCATATAAATATCTTCTTTAAGATCACCATGGAGAAAAGCATTTTTGACATCCATTTGATAAAGAGACCAGTTTTGTGAAGCAGCAATGGCAATAATAGTTCGTACCGTAGTCATTTTGGCTACGGGTGCAAAAGTCTCCTCATAGTCCACCCAATACTCTTGTTTGTTACTAAGAACAACCAATCGTAAGATGGAATAGATATGTTGGATAAAGTAAAGGAAAAGCCATACCAATTGGGAGTACGAGATACTCTGGTAGATCACTGAGTAGGTTCAAGAGGACCAGATCTTGAAGAATTCTCAAATTCTAGTTGTGGTACAGTTTCAGGTGGCGAATCAGTTTTGGGATAGGATAAAGTTGACCGACGTCGTTCATTCACAAATCCAGGTTTGAACCTCTTAAAAGAAGATGATAAATCCTCAAAAGTAGGAAGAAGAGGAGAAACATAAGATGGATCTACAATCGTAGGGAAGAAATATTGATTCTCAAAGAAAACAACATATCTAGAAATACGAAATTTGTAAGAACATGGATCATAGCAAATAAAACCTTTTTGTGAAGTGCTATAACCCATAAAAGCACATTTAGTAGACTGTACAAAAAGTTTATTGCGCTGCGAAGGAGGCAAATGCACAAAACAAACACAATCAAATGTATGAAAATCACTATAGTTAGGATTTTGGTGATAAAGATGAAAATATGAAGACTTAAAATTTAGCACTTTAGATAGCAATCTATTAATTAAATAGACAGCAATAGACAAAGCTTCCACCCAGTATTTAGCTGGTACAGAGGACTCAATCAATAAAGTATGAGTGACATCTAAAAGATGACGATTTTTCATTCAGCAACTCCATTTTGTTGTGGTGTATATGGGCAAGAGTGTTGTGAGACAATTCCTTTGTCAAGCAAGAAATTTTTGAATTCATAAGACATATAATCTCCACCATAATTAGATCTTAATAATTTGATGCATGTAGAAAATTGAGTCTCAATGTAAGCCAAAAATGTCTTGAACATGGAAAATACCTCAGATTTGGATCGAAGAAAATACACCCATGTAAACCGACTATAATCATCTATGAATGTCACAAAGTATTTGAAATGAGCATGAGAAATAATTGGTGAAATGCCCCAAACATCACTATGAATGACATCAAAACACTTTGTAGCACGACTACCAAAATTAGGAAAAGGAAGAGTTTTACTTTTGCCTAATTTACAAGTAGAACAATCAATGGAAGCAATTGAAAATTGATTTTTATTTCCCAATAAACCAGAATTTGATAAATGAGACAACACAACAGAATTTGGATGTCCTAGACGCTTATGCCAAACCTCAGTCTTACTAGCTGTAGAAGTACAAGCAAGAGATAGAACAAGAGGAATGAAAAAGTGTATAGGAAACAATCGTCCAACTTTAGGCCCCTTCGCGATTATCGTCCCCGACACCTGATCCTGCACAAGACAACCATTACAAGAAAAATTCACATCATAATTGTTATCTACCAATTGTCCAACTGAAATAAGACTAGTTGAGAGCTTTGGTGAAACAAAAACATTCTTGTTAGTTTGAGTAATGTCCCTAACCTTGGTAATGGGTAAATTACTACCATTGGCAATCTGTATTTGTGATGGACCTTGATACTTACGAACATTTTTTAGGATGCTCGTTGAGTTGGTCATGTGATTGGAAGCACCTAAATCAACAATCCAAAAATTAGATGTAACATCATTACCTTGTAATTCCAATGTTGAAAAGGCTGACACGATCATTTGTTGTACCATTTCAGGAGTAAGAACTTGTCCTGAAGATGAGTTATCATTAGTGGAACCATTTATCCCAGTTTGAAAAGCATTGATCCTACGATTTTGAAGGCACGTGGGACACTCTTTGATAATGTGTCCTTGTTGTTTACAATAATTACAGAACTTCTTGCTACAATTGCTAGCCATATGACCATATTCCTTGCAACTGTAGCATTGAGTTCTACTCATATCCCTGTCCTTTTCCTTTACCTTGAGCAGCAAATGCAACAGTGACATCATTTTCTTTCTTGAAAGCATTTTGTGTGACAAGACGTTGCTCTTCACGAAGTAATTCCCTAAAGCAAACATCCAAAGAAGGAGACGGGTCACAATTCATCAAGTTATAGCGAACACTCTCAAAATCGGAGAGTAATTTCATCAAAAATTGGTCTCGCTTGCTTTGCTCATGAACTGCCTGAATCACTGATAGAGATTCAGTAGGTATTTAGACAATATCTGTAAATTCAACCCATAAATTCTGAAATCCAGAAAAATAATCCTGAACAGAAAGACCTCCTTGAGAGTAATTAGCAATTTCATACTCTAACTGAAAGGGTCTTGCGCTATTATCTTGGTTGTAAACCTTTTGTAAGTAATCCCATATGGCCTTAGCTGTCTTGTATGGCATGAGATTAAGAACAATAAGAGGGTCAATTGACCCTAGAATCCATGTCATCACCCGAGCATCTTTAATCTTCCATTCACCTAGCTTTGTTGCATCAGTAGGAATATGATCGCTTCCATCTATATGGCCCCATAGTTCTTTGCCGGTGACAAACAATTGAAACTGAAACTCCTAAGAAGAATATTTTTTTCCAGTAAAACGAACACTGAAGGATTCAAAGTGATGTGAATTCATGCTTTTGAATAGCTATGAAACCTACAAAGTCTCAAGAAAGCAACTAGAATGACGAAAGAACAAAATTCCCAGGTGGTAGGACTGATTGTCGATGAACAGTCAACCAAAAACCAAAACCAAGATTTTCAAAATTTTTTTAGAAGGAACCACAGATGACTCTATGAAACAAGACAGCCAAGAGAAGGCTCTAATACCATGTCAATTTTCTTCTTAATACCTCTCAAAGTGAGAGTCTTTCCATTATATAGAGGAAATAAAGATTACACATCCCTAAAGATCCGCCATTCCTATCCCTAAAGATCAGCTATTCTATCTCTACAAATCTGCTATTCAATCCCTCTAAATCTACCTTGCTATCCCTCCAAATCAGCTATTCTTTCACAATATTTATTCCTTTGATTCTACAACAAATATATATGATCATGATAATTTATATCACTATATAATTACATTAATATATACAATCATTTAGTTATCTATCATGCTAACAGTAAGAACTAAATGAAAATGACTGGGAAGTATAAAAATT